AGAGGGATGTTGCCAAAGCCACGTGTCTGCAGTGAAGCACTTGAGTTGTCTTCCCTTAACTATATTGGCTGCAAACACGGATATTTAGTCCAGCTCAGTCTCTCCTAAGCCAGAGATTAATCCATGACCTTGGAGAGAGGGAAAGGACTAGTGCATGGACAGCAACAAATGGAAAATGGAGCAGGAATAGCGATGGGAAGCCGGTGGTGTCCCCTGGCTGGTGTGTCGTGCCCAGGGCAGGGAGGATCAAACAGCCCAGGAATTTCCCAGGTGATGCTCAGGGCTCTGTTTGCTCTGCCCTTCCCCTTGGATCCAGCTGGATATCACACAGAAGATAATGGCAGTGCTCCAGCCCCGGGGAAAAGGGGATCCTCTCCTCAGAAGTCACTGCTCTTCTTTGCTTTACATGTTGAAATGTTGCTGTGCCCAGGGAGAAGCATCTTTAACACCGGTACTTCATTTGATGAATTTTTAAAGGGTTTGAAAGTGAGCTGAGGGATTTTACAGCTCCTCTCTTCCAGCTTCCCAACCATCTGGTTGCTTCACAGATTTTCTGTGGATTCCTGTATTTCTTTCAGCCCCTTTCCCTGAGAAAACAAAGCTTTTGCTGTTGTGCTGCTCGTGTGTGTTTGTCCACCCATATCCCTGTGTTTCCCTGCACTTCCAGCTGGAACTTTCTGCCAGATTTGTGGGAGAGATGGAAATCTCAGTTTTACCCTCATCCCACGTTTCCATCATTTCTGTTTGACACCCTGTGGGGATGGTCAACATCCAGCCTGGGGAGCTGCTGGCCCAGGTTGTTACAACGTCCTGGGACCCCCAGAATTCCAGCTGAATAAAGGCAAATGCACGATACTGGCCAGGTGGGACCCAAACAGTTGTGTGTTATCTGCTTGGGGATGTTAAACCAAGAGGTTAAACCAGGATCAGCTCCTGGACATCATTTTGTGCTGCACTTAGGAGGGAGTTTAACAAGAAACCTTTTCCAAATTGGTAACTCCCAAGGGAGATCCAGGATAAATACAAATTAATCCTGATCCCATCTCATTGATGATACTTGAGCTAAACCTTCCAGTTGAATGTTCGTGTGGATTTTGGGTCGGGAAGCCTTTTTAGAAAGCTGGGGAAGGATGCAAACCATGAGGAGACATGTGAGCAGCGTGGAGATGTCTTTTTTTTTTTTATCCTGATGGCAAATTGCTTCTGAACACCACCTAAAACCTCCCAAATGTGGCTGTGCCGAGAGGCAGGAGCGGGGCTGGCAGAGCTGCCACCCGGCATTCCGGGGGATGGAACCTGCTGGGGAGCTTGGTAGGCACTGCAACCTTGGCAAGGTACCATGGTAACGTCTCCAGACACATGTTTATGGGTTCTTTGAGGCCTTTTTGGTTAAATGTCAATGTTTTCATGAGATTATTCGAGGAGATTTCACTGCTCCAGAATCCCACTCTGCCTTTCGGGTTGAGAGTTGCTCTGTGGAAAATCACAGAACCCCAGACTCACAGAATCCCAGGATGTGCTGAGCTGGGAGGGACCCCCAAGGATCACGGAGTCCAACCCTCAGCCCTGCACAGGCCCAGCCCCAAGAGTCACCCCCTGTGCCCCAGAGGATCAGCCAAACCCTCCCTGAGCTCTGGCAGCCTTGGGGCTGTGCCCACTGCCCTGGGGAGCCTGGGCAGTGCCCAACCAGCCTCTGGGGGAAGAACCTTTGCCTGAGATCCAACCTGAGCCTGCCCTGACACAGCTCCAGCCACTCCCTGGCTGCTCTCCCTGGTCCCCTCAGAGAAGATGTGTCTGTCCTGACTGCTCAGAGATGGAGAGCAAAGCTTAGGGTTCAGTTCCCTGCTTGTTGTACAGCTCTGGGAATGGGGCAGGAGCTGAGGGGCATCTACCCTAGTCCCATTCAGGACATCTGCCCAGCTCCCAGCCAGAGGAGAGGAAAATTGCTGCAAATTTAACCCATTGGAGAGGTAGAAACCCTTCGGCTCATTGCAGTCCAGCCCCGAGCCCTGGGCAGGGCATCACCCCAGTGTGGGCTGGATCCCATCAGCATCAGGTCACTCATGCTCTGAGCTTACCCAGGGCCTCACCACGTGAAGGTTTCTGTGTTTCCAACATGGACATTTTGGTGAAATTCAAAATGAGCCTTTCACAGAATCCCAGACTGGTTTGGGTTGGAAGGAACCTCACAGCTCATCCAGCTGCACCCCCTGCCATGGGCAGGGACACCTTCCCCTACACAGGGTTACTCCAAGGCCTTGAACACTTCCAGTGATGGGGGTTCCAGCCTGGACTGATCTGGCTGTGCTAGGACAGGTCTTTTTTTTCCAGGCAGGCATCAGGCACCCACATATTCCCTGAAGCTTTACACAGATTTCAACCCCGAGTGCTTTGCAAAACCTGGTGCTGTGTTTCACGAGCTCTCCCACAGCCCACCCTCCCTGTGCCCCTTTTTGCTGTTTTCTCCCCCCTTTCAGGCCTGTTTTTGGCCTCAGGCTCCTCTCTGCAGGTTGCTGAGCGTGCCTGAGGTGCAGCTGCACATCCTTGTTGGACACCCAGCACAGGAGCTGCTGCTGGTCCAGTTCTGAGCATCCCTGGTTCAAACTGGAGGCAGGTTGAGAGCTGTTGAATTCCAGCAGCTCTGCAGGTTTTCTGTGGAATAATATTAGATTTTTAAAAATACTAATACATACCTGGGTGGTAGAATTGAATCCTGGATTTCTCTCCCCAGGGTATCACGGGTCTCCTCCAGCACTAAAACACATTCCAGGTTCCCAGGGAGCTGATTTTAAACACTCCAGCCCGAAGGGGAGATGCATTGTCATTTTTTTTTTTTTTTTTTTTTACTGCTTGTAGAAGCAAAGGCAGGGAAAGTGATTTCAGAAATGCTTTAGTGAACTTAACTCCAGGGTTTGCTGCTGCTCCAGCACTGGGGGAGCTCAGGGAGGGAGCACAACCCCGGGCTGGGGCAGGGGGGTGCTGGGTCCATGCCCAGCCCCACGGGCTCAGCACACTCTGGGTTTGCAGTGCAAGCCCATCCCCGTGTTGGATTTAAACCCCTTTCATTCAACAGGGTTTTGAAAACCCTGTTGATGGATGCTGTGATTTTTGGGGTTGTCCTGTGCAGGGCTCGATGGTCCTTGGGGGTCCCTCCCAACTCGGAATATTTGGTGATTCCCTGGGGTGTTTTTCAAGAGAAAACAAGGATCTAGCATTCCCTGAATGCTTTGTGGTGGGCCTGGAAACTAAGAAAGGTAAAATTCCCACCTTAGTGCTGAGAAAAATATGTCAGAGCCAGCAAGAGATCCCAAGGAAACACATTAATTGGCAAGTGCTGGGAAATTACAGATGTGCTTAATGAAAAAGAAAACCTTGTTTACGGTTTCTAATGTGCTGCTGAAGGAACTGGCTCCCAAATAAAAATACTTAAAGTTACGATTAGGATTTATTTACATAATTACTGCCAGAGAAATTCCAGGGACGTGCTGAGCAGTGCAAGAGAAGCCTCGTGGCTTTTCCTCTTTGCTTCCCAGTGTCTCCAGGTTATTTTGCTCTTGGGGAGTCTCTTGAAGCTGTTCCTGACTCAGTGAGGCAAGGAGGCATTTGTTACAAAATTAATTCATATATATGTGGATATAGATTTGTTTTATTGACTGTGGTAGGAACATATGGCTGAGTAAGAGCCAGATCATCCTTGTAATTGGAGTGCTGGCTGGAGAAGGATGCAGGAGGTGGCACTTATGGCAAGGCAAGGATGTTCCATGGCTACAGCAAGGATGCCCTTGGAGTTTGTTTCCAAGGGGCTGTGACCCCCAGGGACGTGAGGGGGTTGTGCCAAAGCATAAATTGATATTAATGGTGGGTTTCAAACCGTGCCCAGGGTGTCCTGGCCACCTTCCAGCCCCTGCAGAGCCCCTGGGCCGGATCCCAGGGGATGTTGGTGTGGCTCTGCTGATTTATATCCACTGGAAACATGGAACAGAAAGGCCCACAATGGGTTTGTGCTGCCTGGATCCAGCCAAGGGGATGACAAATCTCCCTCTTAATATTTCAATTGACTTTGGCAAACTTGCCTCTTTCTTGTGTATCCTAAATCAATGTGTAAGTGCTGCTGACAGTAATTCCCACTTTTGTCTGTGCAGATGGCTGCCCTTCACTCTGCTGCCGTGTTTATACCTGCGAAGTTTGCAAACACTCTGCTGCTCCAGCCTCCTGTTGAGCAGTATCTTTCCTTCCCTGTCATAGTTGGGAGGTGAAAATGTTCTTTGTTGGGCCCTGCCCGAATGGGAATTTCCTTCTTTCTTCTTCTCACTGAAGTCTGGAGCCCAGGAACTGGTGGTGACGAGCACCTCGCTCAGGGAGGGTGCCCTGGGTGGGGGGTTAAACCACCTCAGGGGCCTGGAAGCTCCAGAACAGGGGCTGAGAGATGGTCTCCAGGCTCTTGCAGGGCTTTGAAAGTTGTGCTGCTGGATCTAGTTGGGGATGTTGCATTTCTGGGATTGTCCAAGGCCAGGTTGGACAGGGCTTGGAGCAGCCCCGTCTAGGGGAAGGTGTCCCTGCCCATGGCAGAGGGGTAGAACAAGATGAGCTTTAAGGTCTTTCCAACCCAAACCATTCTATAATTCCATGATCTAATGGAATCTTTTCAAATTTTTTAATTGCATGTCGATGCAGACCCCCGTGCACTATGAAACTATTACCGAGAAGCAAATCTGGAGGCTGAAAGCTGCCATACGAGTGCTAGAGAGTCCTCTTTTCCTGCTGCTCTGTCTCTGCTCACTCTTCTTCATCACCAGGAAGCAGCAGCTGCATTTTTGTTTGTTTAGCTCCTCTCTCAGACACTCAATCAAACCTGCAGCCCATCAGTCACGCGCCAACCTCGCCGGGGATGCTTCGGCCCAGCTACTCCCTCAAGGCACACACTGCTGTTGTACCATTCCAAGAAAACAGGGCCAAATCATTCCAACCAACCATTCTTTTCCCTTTCCTCTCGTTCCCAGGGAGAAGATGCCATTCCACCATGTGACAGCTGGCTTGTTGTACAAGGGCAACTACCTGAACCGCTCGCTCTCCGCCGGCAGCGACAGCGAACAGCTCGCCAACATCTCCGTGGAGGAGCTGGATGGTGAGCAAATCCGGGGGGTTTCCCAAGTTGCTTTTCCAAATTCACCTTTTCCACGGTGTTGTCACCGGGTGTTCTCCCCGTGGAGTGAGGAGGAAGGGATGGCTCAGCAGGTCGGGCGCAGAGAAAAGGTCCCCGAGCGTGGAGAGCCGGGGAGGGATTTTAGGCTCGGATTTTGTCCTTCTGAGAGGCAAGAAGGACAAAGTCAAGAAGTCAAGAAGGCAGCTTTTTGAGACAGGAAGGCTGCATTTTATGGGCAAAAGTGCAAGAGAAAATTTAGGCTAATGTGTATTGCAAAGATGCTTTTAGCTTTCCTGGAACCTGCAGAGCTGAGTCTGTCCCTTCCAAGTCGTCTCGTTTGCTTTGTGGCCTTTCAAAAGTGAGGTTTCTCTGTGTCTCAGTATAACAAGATGCATGGAGGCAGCTTGTGGCTTAAGAAGCTGGGAAGGGCTTTAAAATTCCCTTTCACAGGTCAGTGATTGGGAGCACAGACTGGCCTCAGCCTGGCAAAGGCCATCAGGAGGGTTATCCACATCTGCTGCCTGTAGGATCCCATCATTTTCTCCCTGGAAGCTGGTTGTTGCCCTGCAGACAGGATGTGTGGCCAGGTAGACTCCCAGTCTGGTTTGTGGTGGGAAGGTCTCCTTTGTAGATGATTTGTGGCTCCTCAGGGTCATTTCTAAGCAAAAGTTAATATTGTGGACAGCTGGGCTTTGAGTGCTGTGGAACAAACTGAAGCTCTTGGGTTGCTTCCCAGTGGACATTTGGTACAAGCCATGATCATAATGAGTGGCCTCGATGGAGAACTCCAGGAGGAAATGATCAGGGGAAGGGTGCAAGGGGGAAATGGCCCTTCCAGGGCAGGCTGGAGGCAGTTTGGCAAACATTTCTTCTCACCCTCCCCCTCTTCACGTGTGCTTTTGTAAATCAGAGCTCGGTTTACAAGCCTTTGGCTTTGGGTTTGTGAGCTTTGAATTAACTTATCTTTGGTACAAACAGGGTTTTCTCCTCCCTAGTGAGTGAGAAGGCAGCTCAGGGGAGAGATGCAACACGAGGAACCCCTTTCAGGGCAGCTCAGCTCAGACCTCAGGACTGCCCAGGGCCTGCCCTGGGCTCTTCTGGGGCACAGGAGCTTCTGGGGCAAGTTCAGCTGAACTGAGGTGACTCAGCTTCTCTGCGTCCTAGAGATGCCAAGCTGTGTTGCAGGTGAAGCTTTGCTGTTGTCCCTGTGACAGGAGGTGAGGTCAGGTCCTGCAGTTCATTCCAAACGCAGACAACGAGGGGGTTTTTGGTTATGCCAACCCTGGTCAGAGCACAGCTGCTGTAACTGGGATTTGCAGACAACTGTCAAGAGCTGATCCAAGGGGTGGTGTTTGGTCAAAGGTTGCACTCAATGATCTTGAAAGTCTTTTGCAACCTTAATAATTCCATGATTCCATGACTCTATGAAGTGCCATCAGGGCTGGGACACGCTGTCAGGGCTGGGACAAGCTGTCAGGGCTGGGACACGCTGTCAGGGCTGGGACACACTGTCAGGGCTGGGACACGCTGTCAGGGCTGGGACACACTGTCAGGACTGGGACACCTGTCAGGGCTGGACACACTGTCAGGGCTGGGACACACTGGGGCTACTCGTGCCTGGTTTGTCTCCCTGCTGTGTGCACAGAAATGACCTGTGGCTGGAGTGGGAAGGCAGCCCAGCTCATCTCCACCCTTCCCGTGCCCCCCTGACCCACGCTGGACTCTGCAGGCCCCGCAAACCCTCTGCCATCCCTTTGCCCTGCGGGGTGGGAGCAGCAGCTGCGGGAGAAGGGCCCCACCTTCCCCAGCACTCCAGAGGCTGCGGAGCGCGGCTCATCTCCCTTAATTAACGCAAATGAGGTGAGTTAGGTGTGAAGGAGCTGCCCGAGTCGCTGCTAATGCCAGTCCCGCTCCCATCCAGCGCGGCCGGTGCCCCATTAGCGCCGAGCTCCGAGCGGGAGGGTTCATTCAGCTCCGGGCACAAAGAGCATCCCCCTCGTTCTCCGGGAGATTTAACTAATCAGCCATTTATTTCCTGCCTGTTAAGCACGGGCTTCCTGCTAGAATTCAGCCCGGTTATTTCCCTGACAGCCCTGTGCTCCACAAACCCCTCTTTTCGAGGGCTTTGTGGCTCTGCCAGGAGGACGTGCCCCGGTTCTGAGGAGAGCTCAACCTCAGGCCGTTTTTTTCCACCTGCAAACACAGAAGTGACACCAAATTGATTCGTGTCTGCTAAAGGCAGAGCAGCATAAGAAGCTGCAGAGAGTTTTCTGTGTGCCAGCCAGCAGCACACAGCCTCTGGAATTTATGTTCAATATTAAGGCAGCATCTCTATCTTGCTGTGCTTTGTCACTAATACCAGATCAGTGCCTGGGTGTGCTGGTAACTGGGGAAGGTACCACTGTTCACTGCCCAGACTAAAACAGAATTAGTCTTTCTGCCTTCAAGCATAAACTGTCAGAGGGTGAGTAACAAAATGTTCTTCCTTGAGAAGTTAATGTCAGGGTATGGGAGCTTTGTGGATATATCAAGCTGTGATAGCTCGATGCCAATAACATATTTGCATTTAATCTTACAGGGTTGGGAAAGAGATGCCAAAATTCTCCTTGGTTTCTTTTTCAATGAGATTTTGCTCCTGAGGGAGTTCCAGCCTATTGAGAAATTCCAGTCACACATATTAAATTATGAAAGGTTTGAAGCTGGGGAAGTCAGTGGGAATTTTCTGTAATGTTCCCTCTGCGCTCAGGGCTCCAACAAGTGCCTGATCTGCTGGGGGTTTTCCAGCAGATTTTTTTTGTTTTCCATGTCTAGCATTGCCTGTCTCAGCACTTGGGGAAGGATTTCTGGAATTGTGGGCTCTGGGATGCTGCAGGATCTGTGCAGCCTGACTGGAATACAGGCTGGAACACAGCCTGTCTCCCTGCAGTGAATACTGAGTTCTCCCTGTTTGCAGCCTGAGGGTGATGGGTGAGGGATAATATGGAGATCAGGGAATGAAAAAATAGTTCTGGCTTCAAGTAATGTAAGAGAAAAGGAGTCCAGGTTTTGGGATGGACATCCAGTGTGCTTAAGGTGCTGCTCTGCCTCTTCTCTGACTGGTTTTTCTAAGAAATATTTCGAATCATGGAACAGGTCAGGTTGGAAGGGACCTTAAAACTCATCCAGTCCCACCACCTGCCAGGGACAGGGACACCTTCCACTAGCCCAGGTTGCTCCAAGCCCTGTCCAACCTGGCCTGGGACACTTCCAGGGATGGAGCAGCCACAGCTTCTCTTGGAATTCCACCCCAGCCCCCACCACCCTCACAGGCAAGAATTCCTTCCCAATATCCCATCTAACTCTGGCAGTGGGAAGCCATTCCCCCTTATCCTGTCCCTCCATCCCTTGTCCCAAGTCCCTCTCCAGCTCTCCTGGAGCCCCTTTAGGCCCTGGAAGGGGCTCTCAGGTCTCCCAGAGCTTTCTCTTCTCCGGGCTGAACAATCCCAATTTTCCCAGCCTGTCTCCATAGGTGAGGTCCTCTTACCAACTCCAGACTTGCTCCAACAATTCCATGTCCCTCCTTCGTTGGGGGCACCAGAACTGCCCACACTATTCCAGGTGGGATCCAACGAGAGCAGAGTAAGTTTTCCCCTCTGAAAACTTCCCAGACTTCCATCAGCCATCTGTCAACTTGAACTGGGCTCTGGTTTTTTTCCATCCTGCTTTAAACACAGTTCTGGCAGCCAGGGAAGAGGCTGGAGAGATAACAGGTCACTGCTGATGCCTCTTCTATTCCGAGCAGCCACGCTGCTATTTGTGGTTCTCTTTGTGGCTCTGTAGTAGTGTGAGGGTGTTTAGGAGCTGTCACCGTCACAGAAGGGGAATTAACTTGTACAAAGCCATATTAGGAGCTCCTTAACTTTGTTAGCAGCCACCAAATGACGAAGTTGGAAGTGGCAGCACATCCATAACCTGCCTCTGAGGGGCTGCAAAGCATGGCGGGGTTTTGGATCGGAGTTATCGCCGTGTGCTCAGAGGTTTCTGGGCATGAGATTATAAATCAAGGCTGGGAGGGGCTGGTTTTCTACATTAAGGCTGGGAGGGGCTGTTTTACATATAGATTTCCTGGCTGCTGTTGGGTGACATGGAACTGTGGCGTGGTTTGTGCCGACTCTGCGGTTTCCACGTCCCTCCTCAAACCACCTCCCGTCCTCACGGGAGGAGTATTTTTAATAAAAAAAGTGGTGGATGGAAATAATCATATCAAGCTTGAGTCATCCACCTCCATAGGCACTATCTAAAGGGTATTGTCAGGAGGCAAAAACATTCCCATAGCAGGAATGTGACAAATATCACCTGAAGGGAGGCACACGCATGAGAAGCAGGCTTTGCAAAAAGTGCCTGGGAGATGTGAACCAGTCAGTGCCTTGCAGAGAAACCCCAAAGCTGAACCACAGCAGCAGCTGTTTGTCCAGAAAGACATCGAGAGAAATCCTTACCTGCCCCAGATTCCTTTGAAATCAGCAGGAGAAAATGGTGCTGCAGGACAGCTCTTGGCATCTGGGGCTGCAGGTCACGCAGCTCCCGCCCCGGGAGGTGGGTCTGCGGTGTCTGTAAGGGTTTTTCTAGGCTGGGAGAGGTGTTTTTTGGCTTGAAGGTTGAGCTGCATCTCCAGTTTTGCCTGCCTGAACTGGAGATGTCAGCAGAGCAGCACGTGGAATGGGGCAGAGCTGCTGCCTGCAGGAGCTTGGGGTGCAGCAGCTCCAAGGCAGGAATGTGGAGATTCCTCAGCAAGAGGCTGTTCTGTCATTGTGGGTTTTACATCACCTTGCAGGATGTGCTTTACTTGGTTTCTGCTTCTTCCCAGCAAGCTCCCTTTTGTCACCCCCAGCAGCTCTTTCCTGGGCTCCTGTGTAGAAGAGAACCATGAGCAGCTCCAGAGTACCCTGGGAAACAGTTCTTGAAATAATTTAAAGGTCATGGTTAAATGCTGCCCCGCATGG